GGTGCTAAAGCATTCCACTGAGCAACAGCACATGTTCCTCTGGCCCTTTACCAGCAGCATCTCCAGACTGACTGTGATACTGTGATCTTATTCAGCTCAGCTGTTCCACAGAACAGGATGAGGAAATTCAGTAGGGACGCCCAGACCTCCTGCTTGGTGCCGTCATTACAGCTAGTTGTGCCATCAACTGTTGGGACCTCAGCAGTTTTACTTTGCCGTTTCCTCTGTAACAGACCCATGGATCAGCTGGCTGATTGTGACCTGCTTGCTCTGCAGACATAATCCTTTCTCATTTGTCATGAAAACAGTGCCTAATGTTTGATATATAGTTTTAAAATGTTAATAACACAATATTGACATTTTCCAGTATTTTTTATAGACCAATGCATTTTCACCAATAATCAATGTAATCATTTCAAGGGCATTTTGATCAAAAAAACCTCTGCTATTCAGAGGACTCCAGTGCCACTCAGTGACTGATTGAGAAAACGGTAATAATAGATGCACGAGAATGACTGAGAGCTGGAACGGTGTTTTTTTATGACCAGCTGCTGAGTTCTTTGTGGATTCAGATATGGCTACGCATTGGGTTGCAGGCTTTTGCTCCAACCCCCATAAAAGTGTGTTCACACCCAGCATGAAACCTGCAAAGATTTCTCCAGTTTCTCCAGCTTTTCCTCTAACTAGAAAAAGCAATTCACCCAGCGGGTGAAAAACTACTCCATCATGGAGTCTGCTGGCCATTGGTTTCACATTGACATGGTGGACATGGATTTATGGCGACTGGCAGTGCACTTTTTGGGGATGCAGAATACATCCACATCTTGTAGTAGCTGCATCTGGATGGTGGTCACTTTCAGCGCTACTTTCTTCAATCTGTGACCAAGCTTAGGGTGCTGCTGTCTGGCACCAGGGATGGATCACCCGAACATCAGAGGGAAGGTAAGACGGCATCCTGGAGCTCAGACAGGAGCAGGAGGAAATGAGTGCGAGAACACCGGCAGATAGAGAACCAGTACCATGACCAGGCTGCCAGCCAGGAAATCCTCTGGAGCTAATGCAAATAATTTTTCCTGCCAAAACCCAAGAGCACACATTTTCCATCTGAAAGCACAATTTCCTCTACTTACATTCAAAACTTCTGCTTTCTCTAAAAGCTCTTCTCTTCTTCATCAGGTCTTTTATTTCTGCTAACAGATCTGATGCTTCTTGCACAGATATTTTCTCCTCTTGTTTAAACCATTCTGTTCAAGTCAAAAAAATGCT